GGCTGTTACGCGCGAAGCAGTCGATTTCACGGATCCCCGTGATCCAGCTTGATCGTTAAATAAATTGCATTAGGGGGGATAAGGAGGTTTCGTCTCGGGGAATATTTGCTCGTCAAACGTTTGTCTGGGAGGAGCGATCTGGAGAGAGATATTTTTACGGTGTATTGCACTTAATAAAGTGTCGTCTACATAATTGTAACATGTAATGCGTAATATGTAATATGTAATATATAATATATAACCCTTAGCACTCCAGATGGTTTCGTAATCTATCAATTGCATCTAATTTCTATAGTATCCCTAGCGAAAATAAAAAATGCTAACATTTCTCAGATTTTACTTTTCTTCTCAGTTTTGTAATCTATCTATTGCAACTAATTTCAATAGTATCCCTAGCGAAAATGAAAAATGCTAACATTTCTCAGATTTTAATTTCTTTCTCAGTTTTGTAATCTATCAGACGCTGCGACTAATTTTTATAGTATCTCCAGCGAAAATGAACAGCTAACTCTAGCTAACATTTATCAGATTTTAGTTTCCTTCTCAGTACAAAACTTGTGTGCGTGGAAACTCTACTAATTTTAAGATAGTTTCTCTAAGATCATTGAAACATACAGAGTTCAAAGGGATAATCTATAATCCATAATACATAATATACAACATATAAAAATAACACAATAACAATACACAAGCATCTTTGCATCTCCACCAGTCCCCATTCACAGACACCGAGATCCAAACGAATAAACTGCAGTATTGTAACAATCACGAATAAACAAACATATTATTCATTTATTCCGTATAGTATCGAAATAACTGTTCCGTATCCTTTACAAACGTTTGCGCGATCTGCCCAATAACACGGCTCGCCGATTGCCAAGTTATTTCACCCATAAATTCGAATGTTATACCGGACCGTGAATTCGAAGTAAGTTTGCAGTGGCCTCGATAAACATTTACTCGGTCGGTTAAATAATTCTTCGCGAGCACCGCCGCCGAATAATTTCCCGTGTATTATGGTATCGCGGATCCTCGGCATATCATTAATTTCCAACAATTTTCGGGAACGACGCGCCGCTCGTTCGCGCGCAAGCTTTTCAAAGTGATCGGTCGCGCGTCCCGTCGATCGCGGACGGGCCAGGCAGCGCAGCGCTTCGCTGTTCAAAGATAAAGACGCGCGTTATCGAAAATCAATCGTTCCGCGACAGTCAAGTATCTCAGGCATCCAGGGTATCCACGGTTTTCGCTTCGTCGCGACGTTTTAACGCGAGGAACGCGGCGAGATGAATATCTGACCGCGCGTGGAGAGTGTCTAAGTCGGGAACTGGAATCTGCGGGAAAAAATCTGCGCGGGGACGGAAGAAAATTTGTCCGTTCGACGCTTCGTTTCCCGCATAATCGATCTCGAAAGCTCGCGGGAAAGTTTTGGAGGAAACGGCTAGCCATGAGCAGACGCGGCGAACTATTTAACTAGTTAACCCTCTATGGGCTGAATTTTTGTTCACGATTATAACAAAATCTATGCAGTACAAAATTAATAAATATCCACATATGAATACGAATTAACAATATATTCAATAGTTTCAATAATTTCATCAAACGAACATACTTCGTAACTTTCAAGTTACAATGACGATAAACTTTCACGCCTGAGCATGTAAAAGTTGCAGTTAACCGATTACCTCATTTTATTCACCACTTTGAGTGCAAAATTAAATAACTCAACAAGATGCCAATATACTGATATGTGACTTCAAAGTTACATGGGCCTACAGAGGGTTAACACGTTGAATGCCATGGGGGTCACCAGTGACCCCCAACCAAATCGAATTCCTATAGTTCACTCGATTAAACCATGATTATTTGAATACATTTCTGTATTATAAATAATGCTAACTAATGTGGCGACATTCAGCTAGATGAACCTGCAATAATAATGCAATTCAATCCAATGATTTAATATTATATCTTTTCCATTTCAAGTATTTTGTACCGTGAAATCGTATGGCATTCAACGTGTTAACTGTTTGACGAGTATACACGTCATCGTAAAGCTTGACACGATACTAATTCTTTCATGAATTCTTTATTTTTTCACATAAACATGTAAGTCTTCTTTGTTTCGCTTTGATCTTTCATTAAAATATACTCTACGTGCGTTCTTCCTGCGTTCGATGAACACACGCTCCATTTTTGTATTTTATTGCGCGCAGAACGAGAGATTTTTCAACTAAATTCCACAGTTGAGTGGTTAACCCACTTAATGATTCGACGCAGCAAACTTATAAAATTTTCAATTCGATATTAAACCTTGTGTACTGTATCAACACATAAAACATCGAAGTAAAACAGTTCTGTCTCTTAATTTATATATGATAATCAATTGCGTTGGTTGCGAAAAATAAATAATAAGAAGGCAATAATAAGAATGAAAGTGAATAATCGCGCTGCTTCGCACTCGAACACTTAACCCTTTGAACTCTGTAGGCTCCAATATTGCACCAGTTGTAATATTAAATATTTTAATGAATCTTAAAGAAATCACTCTAGTCATTCGATTTTCACATCCAAATTTTGTACTAAGAAGGAAAACGAAAGATCGAAGAAATGTTATAGCATTTCTAATTTTCGCTAGGAATACTGTAAAAATTCGTTGCAGTTGCTGATTGATTACAAAACAACTTGACTAAGGGTTAAAAATCATCGATTCACCGGCCACAATGCACACGCGTTACATTTCCTTTCCGTTTTGTTGATCTTGCCTAGGAAAAAATTGTTTGCCACGTCGATTCGAATATTCATGATGAAAAGGAGCGAGCTGGCGCGGAGAAGAAGGAGGACAGGCGTGCACGGATGAAAATATTATCTGATGCAGACGTACCGTAAAGAGTCCAATCCGTTACAGGTGCCACGGACATGCCGCACTTGAAGACACCGCGATAATCCATGGCGAGCGTCATGCCTGTCGCGTATCCACCGTAACTCCAGCCCCATATCGCCGTCCTGGTGCGGTCGATGTACGGCAGAGTGTCTTGTAAGTGCCTGCAACCGGTGGTAGAATCGTTCACGCATAAAAATCATCTCTGAAACGTGGGGATACGCACCTGTGGACGAGACCTCGAAATTCGAGTATTCAGATAATTGAATAACAAGAATTGAAGGTTAGCAGTGTGCTGGTAAGTAAATTTTTTGCTATGTAAAATGATTTTCATTTGAATAATCAAGATTTCGTGCATATCAATTGTGTTTCTCTATTTGTATAACGTTGACATCGAAACGCAGAATATTCGTTGTTATTGGAGAAACTTCGTAATATCCCCATAATGTAAACAAAATATAACCATCTTAGTTCTATACTTTGCAACTTTTGTCTGAAGTATTTGTTCGTATCACTCATACTTCTTAAGTTATCGAGTTTTGTCGCTCACTGCGCGCTCCGTCTCTCGTCGGTACGATCTTTCGTTCTCTTATCATTAAAATAGAGGTTTGTATAAGAATCTTAATTTCCGAAGAACATCATTGGGAAAACAGGACTTCGCCGGCCGGTGGGCGAGGGTCAAATCCGCAAATAATAAATGTCAACAGCAACGGTAATGAACGGTAAATCGGTGCCGTGAAGTTTTCTCCCCGTACGGGGGGGATGGAAGCTTGTCCCCCGAGCTCTCGTCTGCGAGACACGAAAGAAACTTTCCGTTCAATGCAACACGCGTACCCATTGTGTACCCGTTCACATAATATCAAGTGTTTGAAAGACAGTCACGATACATCCCCACGGCTCCCGGAACTTGTTTTCACTGAATGCCGCATTTATATGTTCATAGCGTCCGCGGAGAGCACGACGGCTGGCTGTGTAACGCGGTGGCCGCAGATATACAGGGTGTCTCTCAACACACTATCGGAGGGTAACATCATGAACTCGACTCACACGTATAGTGGGCGAAAATTAGTGAAGTATGAAAAAAGTACACTTTTTAGAAAACATGTAATATCTTCACATCTAATAGTAGGATTTCAATGAAATTTGGAAAATAGGTATCACATAGTATTTCGAAGATGTAGATGAAATTTAAAAAAAAAATTCAATTTTTAATTTAGTTTTTTATTGCTTCATTTAATGCATAACATGGACCGAACGATAATTGTTAATTTTTGAAAGTTTTAAAAGTTCATGTAGTAAGAGAAAAGCGTAATAATGTTTAGGAATATTTTATTATTCAGTTTCTTATGTAGTAATTTTATTGACTCTAATATTTTTTTAATGTATGGTATTTTTGAAAACACTCACCCCTATGAAGGGGAACCTGACAAAACTTACACATATAAGAAATTAAACTTTTCTTTTTATGCACTGCACGAACACAACATTAAAAAATTAAGACTGCCCAAAAATTAGTGACAATGAAAAAAAAACAAGCATTGGTAAGTGTTTTACTAACACTTAGCGTACGTTCTGCATAAAAGGTATTAATACCCGACCCGTCGATAGTGTGTTAACACGTTGCGCACTGGTAACGAGAAATCTCGTTTTTCTATAAAGACTCTTAGCTATATAACTTTGATAATTACCACAGCATTTAACCAGTTAACTGTGTTTGACGAGTATACTTGTCATGGAGAAGTTGCAGGATTTTGTGTCATGACGAGTATACTCGTCGTGAAGAAGTTGCAGGATTTTGTGTCATGACGAGTATACTCGTCATGGAGAAGATGCAGGATTTTGTGTCATGACGAGTATACTCGTCAAACACAATTAACTGGTTAAGGAAATATTAAATTTGATTGGAACTAATTGTCCATTTAAAATATATTAGATAACAATATGATACCCGAGCTTTTTTATAGATTGTAATATAAGTGGATCTCACTGAAAATCCGCAGAATTTAATTTTCTGATAATTAGCCGAAGGTACGCAATGTGTTAACAGTATTTCTGTACCGGTACGCAATGTGTTAGTACCGGAGGTGTCGAATGGCACCTGAAATTTTACCTTAAAATTGTTCCTCGAGTTTAGTTGTATATTTTGAATTGATTTCTTTACTTTTTCAGTGACGATTACAAAATTAATTATAGGAAATGTCCAAAAGTCGATTGACGACAAATTATTAAACTGAGAAGATAATTTTAAGTTAAAACTTCAAACTTCGGTAGAAATAGTGTTAACCCGTACAATGACGAGTGAGGTTAATTTAACAACAATCAATGTTGTTCAGTATCCATGGATTAAAGCAAACAACTATTCTGCTATCAATTTATTCTCTTCAAATGAAATTTCTACTTCAAGTAGAATGGGCAATTTTGTTGTATTTCTTTCAAATTTTCAGTAGTAAAATTTTAACCCTTTGCACTCGGGAGGAGACTCAGTCATCACTTGATTTCCTACAATGATGCTATAAAGTTTGATATTTAATATTATACTTCATACAATGCATCAATCTGAGAAATATTCACGTAAAATAGCTTTGTCCGTCAATTCACGTGAATTTCTCGTCGAGTTGGTTTTACAAACTATCGTCTTCATCTCATCAGAAAATGTTGAAATATTTCTAGTGAAAAACTTCGGAGTGCAAAGGGTTAATACACTATTTCTACCGTGGTGTCAAAAGACAGGTACGCAATGTGTTAAGAGAGCAACTCCAGTGCAAGAAGCTAATTCTGTCTCAGGTGTGCCACGATTTCCGAAACACCTTGTAGACCAAGGAGAACACAGGAACAGCGAGAATAAGAAAGGAATACGAGACGGGAGAAGAAAAGGAGGGAGGGAAACGTCTAAATGGCTATTAAGTCGGATCCGTAAACGCGGGGATCAGCTAACCAGGTTACAGGTGGAGGAGGATCTCTTAAATTTGAAAGGCCACGGCTGTCGCGCGATCCTCTTCGGGGAGCAGATCATAAAAATCGTTCTTAAAGGATCGGCCACTAAAATAAATGTCGTTCGCCGTCCTAAGTGCTCGTCCGTCGGATGCATTATGCATCCCGTGGTCCGAGTTTCTTATGTTGAACCGGATCGTACGATGAAGATGAATTTCAACGGGGAACGCGACGACGAGTGCCTCCGCTCTGAATTATACCGGGCGACACGAATCGGATGTGCTTCCCCCCGCCGCCGGGGAACTTGTAAAACACGCGGTCAATTTTTACGCCGTCGTCGACGGCGAAGACACGGCTAAAGAGATTACAAATATTCTACGGATCGTTCGTTTCTGGCATCGATCGTTCGGGCGGGATTATTCTTCCGCGGTTATCGGGAATTCGGGAGTTTAATGTCGGATTGATCGTGCTTTAAGATTCTTTTTATTGGCTTTATTTAGGTCCTCTCGTAGCTCGAAGTAATTCTGTTTTTGGATCGAAACTACGCTCTGGGAGTTTTGACCCTTTGAACTCTGTGGGCTCCAATATTGCACCAGTTATAATATTAACCCTTTGCACTCGAGAGGTGATTCTCAGTCACCACTTGATTTGATGCAGTGAAATTATAAAACTTAATATTTAATATTGAACTGTGTATAATGCATTGGCGTGTGAAATATTGGGGTAAAAATTTCTTTGTTTCACAATTTACTTGTGATTTCTCGTTCAGTTCATTTCAAAAAATATCTTCTTTGTTTAGTTAGAAAATGTTAAGTATTCCTAACGAAATACTTCCGAAAGGGTTAATTAGGTTTTATTTGTTCTATTTTAATAAGGGTTACTTTCGAAAGGGTTAACCCTTTGCACTCGAGCGGCGCCTTTCAATCAATTGATTTGACCGAACAAAATGATGAAATTTAGAATTCAATATCAAATTTGATATAATGTATCGAAATAAATTAATTCTGTCAATTTATTGATACCTCATAAGAAAATGATGAACATTTGTTGAGAAAAATATTCTCGAGTGCAAAGGTTAAATGTTTTAATGAATCTTAAAGAAACTAGCCTGAAATTATCAGATTTTCCACATATCCAAATTTTGTACTAAGAAGGAAAATAAAAGACCGAAGAAAGGTTATAGCATTTCTAATTTTCGTTAGGAATACTATAAAAATTAGTTGCAGTTGCTGATTGATTACAAAACAACCTGGAGTGTTAAGGGTTAATCCTTTGCGCTCGACAATATTTTTCATTAAACATTCATTATTTTCTGATAAGTTAATATTATTTGCAACTTACATGAAGGAACATTTTGCATGAACTATTAAACTATTAAAATACTATTAAAATTTTAGCATTCTGCTGCGTTCAATCAAACGACTGAGAGTCGCCCTCGAGTGCAAAGGGTTAAATCTCAACAGTTCTGGATATCAATAGTTATAGTTCAGCAACTCTAAATATCAACAGTTCTAAACTTCGATGATTCTAGGATTCAATATTACTTGTGGTGGAGGTAGATGGTACGTCGTCCCTTTTGACCTGCAAGGGTCAAGTGGTTGAGCTGCCGTTTTCTATTTGTCAACTGCTGGTCAGTTACGACACAAGATGGTAAAATGTAGCAATCGATAAAACGCTTCCAAAATTTCCTTATATTATGTTAGACACGAGCGAGCATAATTGTGCATACCATAAATCTCGTCGCACCGACGGCTGTGTCGCAGCCAAATAAACGGTGCCGGGACAAACGGAAATCCGAGCGCTCCGCTCGTCGGCAAACGAAAGATCGAAGCCTCGCAATTGTACAGTAAAGATCAATCCAGACGCGATCGGTAAAAAAAACAGAAGGAATCTACGGAAGGACGTGGCCGGACTGCAGAGCGTGGCCAATGTAACGGTCAATTCCAGCTGAAAAGATCGACAATGGGCGGTCCCATCAGCGGGGAGCTTCTCCAAACAGTGTTCTCACGGTGCATTCGATTTCTTCGATCCGAGACGATACGTGATTTCCGATCGGAACGGGGCGAGGGACCGTTCGGTCCGCAGCTCCTTCCGTTCCAATCTTTCCTCGGCTATTGTCTCCCGTATCTCGCGTGCTCAATAATAATGGCGCCGAGGGGAGGGCCGTGGCGGCGGCCGCGCACGGTCGCCCATAGAAATAGTAACGGGCCGGCCTCTCGATCCTTTTTTCGCG